AGCAGGACTCTGTCTTCCCTGTTGGTTGCCCCGGGACACGGCCAGGCCAGGCCAGGGCCAGGCCTCCTCGCCCAGCCGTAGCCCTGTCTAATCCGAGCCTCGGTCAGCAGCCACATCCCCTCTCCCTGCCTGCTGGGAGGGAGGGCTCAGCTCAGCTCACAGAACAGGGTCCGGTGCAGTGAGGCAGGGAGAGGGATGGCCCAGGGACCAGTGTGAGTGGCCCATCTGGACGAGGTCTAGCCCCGCGAGGCCGTCACACATCTGGGCAGAGGTCAGGCGTTCAGGATTAGAGAGCTGGCCACTGCGAGGACCAAGGGGCCGCTTCTCTTGCTGGCAGTGAAATTCTCACGTTCAAACCCAAATCCAGCGCAGGTCAGCGGGTTGCTGTTGCCCAGGGGCTTGGAGACTTGGGCTGGTCCCAGCCTGTCCACAGGCCCTGTCGGGGCGGAACCGGGCCAAACCGGCCAGGCCCAGGGAGAGTGAGAGGGCCCCAAACCCCTGACTCACCAGGGTGGTGCCCGTGGCGGGGGCCAGGCAGCAGCGTCCCCTTGGCCCACGGACAGGCGGCCGCTGACTCAGGCAGCAGTGATGAGGGACTAGGGTTCTCCCATCGCCGTGACTCACCCCAGCCACCCGTCTGCTTTCCAGGAGAAACTCCCAGGAGGTTTCGGGACGCATGGGGAGGGCCCTGTCCCGGGGGAGCACCTGCGGTGCTGGCTTGCAGGGCGCAGCAGCCCTGGCCCTGGCGGGGCAGAGTGGAGTAGCTTGTTCGCCCCCGTCTGTCCTGCTGCTGGAGGTTGGTTTCGACCTGTTTGCTGATGCAAGGACGCTCAGGGCGCTGGGCTGGCGCGTGGCGGTTGGGGATGGACGATAATGGCCTCGATGATGCAAGTGGTACTTGCTTTCTCCGGGTCAGTCACTGGTCTCAGCACTTTCCATTCATTATTTCATTTTAACAAGTGGGAACGGGAGACTCCCCATTTCGGAGGGGAGGGAGAAGAGGCTTGGCCGGGAGCAGCAGAGGCTCTTCCCAGACAGGTTCCCTGGGCCTTGCTCTTCCCTGACCAGCCGCCAGCACCACTTTCTGGCCTCTCAACTGTTGGGCTCTCAGGCTCCTGTACACACCTGTCTGATAACTGCTCTTCCCAGCGCCCCCTGAATGGACAGTGGGTGCTCATGGGGCATTGGTCAGTGAGTAAATGAGCCTATGGAACTGAGGAACTGGGGTGTTTGTTCTCCCTCTGCTGCAAGATAGGGACCCCAGCCACCCTTTCCACCCAGGTCTCCGCTCCACCGCTCCAGAGCTGGGGAGCTGTTGGTGAGAGGGAGGCGCAGCTGCGTGAAGGGACCTTCCCCAGGCTCGCGCTGGACGTGGGTTTGCTCCAGTCTGCAGCCAGGAGGTGGCTGGGGAGGCGCCTTGGCCCCTGGAGCAATCTGGTCAGGCTGCACGGAGTGGGTGGGAGCAGTGGCAGGTCCCATGCTGACTCCGCATTTATTTATTTTTAAAGATGTGTTTATTTATGCATGTAAGAGCTGGAGTGTAGGCCAGAGGCGCAGGGGGTGGGGTGACTGACCAGAGACAGTGGGGAGCAGAGCAGGCAGATCAGAAATCCACTGCTGAGGGGAGCAGCAGGGAAACAGGAGAGGTCTGCTGTGCCCTGTGGGTGACTCCCCGGTCGGAGATTGAACCGTGCTGCAGTGGCTGCTGATAAAGCTTCATAGTGCGATCTTAGCCCGTGCCACCAGGGAGGCCCTGACTCCTTTAAGGAAACACGAGGAATGAGTGTCGCATGCACAGGACAGCGCTCACGCAGGCCAGAGGACAGGTGGGCCTCCCTGGCAGCACAGGGGCAGCAGGACCTGGGAGTAGCCTCGTGCAGGCCAGGCGGGGGCCGAGCGCCCTGTTCAACAGGGCAGTGGCTGGACGTTCGGCTGTTTTCAGGTTTGGCAGGAGAGGATAAGTATGGCCCGTTTGGGGTGTGAGGGGGCTGAGGAGCCCCCCACCCTGGTGACACCAGTTGAAATCTCAGCTTCCTATTTCTAGCTTTGTGACTTTAGCAGATCTAACGGAATCCATTTTTCAACTACGCGGGGATACCTTGTAGCAGCTTGTATGAAAGTGAAGGTTCAACTAACACCTTTTCTGCCCCAAACCAGGGGCTTCAGGACTCCGATGAGTTTCCGCGGGGGAGAAGGTACGGGAGGGCAGTTCCCCTCGGCAGGGGCCCTCAGGGAGGGCGAGGCCAGGTGGAGGGCTGGGCGTCCAAACTCCGGGTTCGGTCAGCAGCTGACTCAGGTGGCTCCTCATCTCTGCACGCTTCTGAGGTGCTGGCAGGAGATACTAGACCTGGGGCGGGCTGGAGTCGATGGCTCTGACGTCTCAAGGCGGCGGGCCTCAGGCTCTCCCGGTCCTGGCTCCATCCGTGCCTTGGAGGGAGCAGATCCCGGCAGGGGCCCAGGAGTGGCCCAGGTGTCCCGTGCTGGGGCACACGCAAGGCCCAAGGGTCAGGTGCGGAAGAGCAGTTAGCTCCCTTCCTCTCCATCCCAACCAAACGGGGTCTCGCGAACAAAGCCAGGCCAAGCCAGCAGGTTATTATATATCATGCTTTTAATACAAACTTAAAAAAATCTGGAACAATATAAACTGTACAGATTTGATCAATCTTTTTGTTTTTAAACTAAATCTCTAAACACACCAATGTCCCATTCCAAAATATTGCACAACATTCTGAATACAAAACACTTGATTGTATTCCTCCTTCACTAGAGACAAGCTCCTCGCCAGGCTCCCCCGCTCCTCTCTAATGGCCTCAGTGAGCCCCCCCGCCCCCCCCCGGGTCAAACTAGAGAATCTATCTAGAGAATCTCGCTGCATTGAGAAAAATACATCATTCTGGACTAAAAGTTTACATTCTTCACACGACGATCCACCCTTCTGATTTGTTCCTGGGAAAGAGGGGAGGCAGAGAGCGGGCGGGGGAGGGGAGGCAAAGGTTTTATTTTCCTTTTTTTAATTTTAAAGTTTGTTTTCCTGAAAAAATAATCTGTTTCTCTCCTCTTTTTAAGAAAAAATCTTGAAAAGAAAAAAATTACGTTTTACGTTAGAAATATACATATATTATATATACCTCTTACATTTTACAAATGTAGCAAATTATTCAATACAAACGGACACCAAAAAATGTAAAAAATAAAAAAATTTCTCCTACGAAACCAGGTAAATTAGTGCAGATTTCTGGTTTGTTTTCTTAAAAAAAATAAAATGGAAGCAAAAATGCCAAGATCTGAGACAACAGACTGAGCGGGCCTGGGCGCCCCACATGGGGTCACGCTCCTTGACACACGTTTCTTCCTATTCCAGGACCCCCGGGGCCGGCCCCCCCGGGGTGTGGGTGGGTGCCTGTGCGCGGTGGGGGGGCAGGAGGGGTGTAAGGCAGCGTCCAGTCCTCTCAGGCAGTCCCGGCTCGGCTTGTCACCTGGTGGGCGCTGAGTGCAGGGCGACCCCGGCGGAGCTGGCCCGAGTCTGGGGACAGATGGCGCCCGGCGGGCCGGGGCCTTGCCCTGCGGGGGAGGTAGAGCTGGTGCCACTCAGGAGCAGGCTGGCGGTGTCGGGGCCGGGCCACGGCCCCAGCAGCTGCCTGTGGAGGGTCAGTGGGGAGGTGGCCGGGAGCGGGGCGCCAAGGGCTTTGGTAGCTTCCG